TAGGTAGTTTAAAAAACAGTAATTGTTTATTGATAATAATAATGTAATTTCTTGAAAATAAGTGTTTCAATGACAATAATTAGTTTGCATGAAACGATCCGTACAGTACCTACCTAGTGAGATTTACCTACATTGTAGGTAATTTCCTTTTAACCCGACTGCGCCATGACTTACAAAAGTTTAAAATAATATTCTTTTATTGAATTATGTAAGAATAAAAATCAGCAGTCAGGTTTTTTACAAGCTTTTAATTGACTTGCAATATAGGTAGGTATGTAACTATGTTTGTTCGGGTGGAATCTTGCAACTCAATGAAAAATTTTGAAGCAGATTGTTGGATATATTGGATGGTCGCTTAGCTTTACACCTAGAACCATAGTTCCCTATAAAGCGGGCTGTCAAAGGTGAGGCAAGAATAAAATCTTTGTGTACGTAAGCAACTCGTTTTTATGGTCGACAAAACACACACACAAGCAAATAATTATGTTGCTACTAGAACAAATTTATCCTAAAAGTAGGGAAGTTTAAACTATTTCGTACTTATAGTTACGATTGAGTGTAGATTAGATTACGCAAATATACATGTGTTTATATACAGTAGTACGTTTTCGTTTCACTCGTGATTCGTGAAGGAGCGTACTATGCTTGAAATTAATAAAAAAATAGGTTCCAAATAAAAACTTTCAGCTTCAGATCAACTCATCAAAATTTTCATAATAACTTTTCGAAATATTGAAAATGGGCGCGTAGGTGTCGGCCGGAGAATTTTTTAGGTTAGAATAATTTGTGGCCAGAGTGACAAGTGGCCTTTTTTCTTTTTAATAGTAGGCAAATGAATTGAAGGTTATGGAGCCAAGAAAAGACAAGAAATTGATATATTACCTTATAATATAAAAGATTTTGAAATGTAGACACAGAGATTATAGCTTATTATCATCTTTATACTAGGGATTATACAATGTAGGTACTTATTTTCTGACAATCCTCGATTTAGTTGCGGACCATGAGCCCTGCCTTAAGGGCATTGTAAATTATATTAAAAGTAAAAGTAAATTATACTAAAATTAATACATTTAACATTTGATAAAATTACTATAGAATAGAATTATAACAATTAGAAAGAGTTTTACTTACAATTTATCATAAAAAAAATAAAACTGAGATTTTTGTAACTGGTTATAAAATATAGAATCTTTTTCAACGTTCTTAATACAATTTGGAATTTTACTGACATAATTACGGTATGCAATTATATTATTTATTCTTCATAAAATTACATAATATTTTCCAACAGTTACTAAAAGTACTACTAAATTTTTTGTTTGCAATATATTGTTATACAACTGTTATATGTCTCGTCAATGTATAACTTGTTGTCCTTCCTGACGTTTATTGTTGATTGTTCGAAGATATCTGTCTCCATGCTGATGTCTCTTAATTTTTACCCGACTGCGCAACGCAAGCTGCGCGAAGCGCGACGCACAAATAGGGTATTGTGTTTATCAGCCTATATATGTATGTATGTTTCTATGTGGCACACTAGAACAAACAAACTCACTTTCGCATCTATAATATTATATTATACTAGTGATCCGCGCCTGCACAGGCGAAATTTATTTTAACGGGAGATAATATAGCCTATGTTAATCAGGAATAGAGATGGGATTTTACCCGGAAAAAATCCCAATGTGGGAAAATATAGGGAAAAAACCCAGGGAAAATTCCCAATTGGGAAAATATTCGGGTTTTTTCATATTTAGCATATGTAACATCGAGGTAATGTGGAGATACATGTATATATCAAATGGTAAGTACTATTACTACTAGTTAGAGCTAATCTAACTTTTTTTAATTTCATAATTCAATAAAAACGTTATATATACTCCATGCTATCTAATTAAATAAAATGAAATAAAATAAAAAAAAACCTGTCTGTTTGTGTATTCATCCACTCTTAGCGACAAGTAATTCGAAACTACGTAGTAGTGGCGTACGCGTTGGTGATCTATCTATCTTACACGTTATTTTGGCTTCGTACTGTGCGCACTTGTGTTAATATGTTAGTTTAATTGAGGACTGGGATTTTGTTTTGTAGACTTCTGAAGACGTCTTTTTGTTGATAAATTAAACTGCTGGTTTTATTTTAGTTCCTGAATCAGGCTATCAAAGTCAACAGCTAGTGTCCTATAAACGCTGTCGCAAAGTATGTGCGCATCGCAAAGTACCAGTGGCGTTGGGTGAAAAAAAAGAAAGGTAAAGCCGGACCAAAAAAAACGACTAACGCGTCAATAAGCAAAATGTCATATCTTATAAAAATACATGCAATAAATTTTACCTTATTACTTACCTTATAATAGTGTGTTAGTACACCTTTCCCAAAACGACAACGAAATGTTAGATATGGTGCTTGCGTTGCGTTGTATGCAGTTTTTTCATGCGACAGAACATGCTTGCTGTATAGTTGTTAGTGTTCACCACCTTCACCATACATAACATCACTGGTATTATATGAACAGTCCATGTCGATTATGATAAAAGTGGCGTTCAAAAAACCGTATAAAGCACACGTCACTCATACACAGATTATTATAGTACATTACGATACGCGTGACCTATGCTGAGTTGCCTATTACTGCACGGTTAGCACCCTCTTTCCGCTCGGGCGCTAACTTCACGCCGTGCAGTAATAGACAACTTAGGCCACAAGTATCGTATACTATTTTATAGCAAGTGTGACATAAACCCGCCCCGGACGCGGGCAAGAGGGGAGGGGGGGGGGGGGGGGTTGCGATTAGTGTTTTGAAAGTAAAATTCATGTATTGCAATCACAAAGAATTGCAATACAGACTGCAAGTCAAACTCTGAAAAGAAAGAATTCCGGTTCAGATTACCATTTTGAAAGTATATTTCAAAAGGAAAAAATCAAATATCATTACAACAAAATAGAATTTCAATGTATCCATGAACGTTTATTCCTTGATTGGCATAGTAAAGTTAAGTTACGCGTATCGTAATGTACTAATTCTTCATGAGTGAAGTTGGTCAATTTATTTACACACCGTGCAGAAATAGGCAACTTAGGTCACGGAAAAGCGTGCGTAAAGTGCGGGTTTATGTCACACTGTGCTATAAATAAATATATAGAAAAACAAAGAACCAAAATAAGGGCCAGCATCATCATCACAAATAAAAACCAGCAGAAATACCGCTAATTTATTTCTATTCTACGTACATACATAGTATCACGTCAGTAAGGGATTTACGGGGTAGAAAGAGCCGAAGGCCATGGCCACGTTTTATTTTCGAACGAATGTTTTGAGAATGAAGTTAACTCATTTAATAGGAAATCTGTAAGACAACAATCTATTTGTACTAATTCCACCACTCCTACGTGACGGCAAGAAACAAAAAAATGCAAACAAACCTTTACGGTGAAATAAAACAAACACTATACGCAACACTTGGCAAGTAAAATTTCACTACTTTCGATTCTGTTAAACTACATATATACCACAATCAAGCTAATTACTTATCACAATAGATAAATTAGCATAGAACGGATGACTCGAATGCTACTTTATCCATGCGAATGCGCGCGAAATAATGGCCTCTCTACGTCAGGTCAACAGAGCCGAGCGCCAGGTGTCTGCGATTGGCCGAAAACTTCAAGCTAAACGGAGCCTTAACACATGTCAAATAAAGATTGCAGGCTATCTAAGATCGGGTTATATCGCTGTTATATCGACGATTGGTTGCATGTGGTAGTAATGTGTATTTGTGCGTGAAGTGCTTACATTTTATTTATTTGAAGTCCCAATATGATAAGCGGCTTATCCAGCCTACTACGGCGCGGATCTGTGTGCGTATGCGCGATATCAAATGCATTGCGTATTTTGTATCCAGTTTATTAAAGAATATTTTCACAAAGCGCGCAATTTAATTATGTCGCTTGCATTAACGTATACGTCAATGTCCGCTTGTGCTTGAATGTAAATATATTAGCTTCACCACTGCAAAGTACCTATTTTTCGCTACATTTGTTCTAAAAATAAAAAAATAAATTAAGATCGTGATAATTATGTTTAAGAATGAAAATACCCGTCTATTGGGTTTTTTCCCACATAAATACCCGGTTTTTTCCCACTGCCCATCTCTAATCAGGAATAATGTAGTTATAAAGAAACATTATACTAGAAAATACAAACAGTCGGTGAAGTTGTCAGGTAGGATTCGACCCTGCGTCTTCCGCTGTCCGGGCTACCGAGACATCCGTGCATCCCACAGAACACAGTAACCGTGCAGCGAAAGATGCAGATTCAAGTCCTGTCTGACACCTTGCCACCGGTGAGTATCTATAACAACAGACGGGGTTTATTGCTTTCTTTAACCTGCGTTATTAACGTTTGAACTCAACCTCTGGCATCTACAATATTTGATTTCTGTCAATTATGTAGGTAACACACATTATGGACAAGGATATTATGACACTACATTTGTGTATTATCACAACCTTAGAGCCGGACGTTGACAATGCAGTCATTGCCAATTTTAGATAGTTTTGCTTCAGAGTCTTAATTTTTCTACTGTGTTTTCGTTGTATAAGGATCTTTTTCCTTAGTTGCCTTCGTAGTGAAGCCTTTTTAGGCGTATCAAATATAGAATCTGGTCCTGATGCTAAAGGTGTTGTCGGAGTGCTTAGATTAGCGTTTTCGCTCCCGTGTGAGTTCTTTGACGTGTGGCTAAATTACTATTTACAGTAAATCTTTTATCGCAAACGTTACATTTAGAAGGTTTCTCTCCTGTGTGAACTCTTTTATGTCTGGATAAATTACAACTTATAGTAAATCTTTTATCACAGACGTTACATTTATAAGGTTTCTCGCCCGTGTGAATTATTTTATGTCTGGCTAAATCACCTCTTTTAGTAAATCTTTTATCACAGACATTACATTTATAAGGTTTCTCGCCCGTGTGAATTATTTTATGTCTGGCTAAATCACCTCTTTTAGTAAATCTTTTATCACAGACATTACATTTATAAGGTTTCTCTCCCGTGTGAATTCTTTGATGTATGGATAAAGTACCACTTTGAGTAAATCTTTTATCGCAGACGTTACATTTATAAGGTTTCTCGCCCGTGTGAATTATTTTATGTCTGGCTAAATCACCTCTTTTATTAAATCTTTTATCACAGACATTACATTTATAAGGTTTCTCTCCCGTGTGAATTCTTTGATGTATGGATAAAGTACCACTTTGAGTAAATCTTTTATCGCAGACGTTACATTTATATGGTTTCTCTCCCGTGTGAATTCTTTGATGTGTGGCTAACTCACTATTTTGAGTAAATCTTTTATCGCAGACGTTACATTTATAAGGTTTCTCGCCCGTGTGAATTATTTTATGTCTGGCTAAATCACCTCTTTTAGTAAATCTTTTATCACAGCCATTACATTTATAAGATTTCTCTCCCGTGTGAATTTTTTGATGTCTGTTTAAATGACCACTTTCAGTAAATCTTTTATCGCAGACGTTACATTTATAAGGTTTCTCTCCCGTGTGAATTCTTTGATGTCTGGATAATTTACCACTTGCAGTAAATCTTTTATCGCAGACGTTACATTTATAAGGTTTCTCTCCCGTGTGAATTCTTTTATGTGCGGATAAATTACTACTTTTAGTAAATCTTTTATCACAGATACTAGAATTATATGCGTTTTCCTTTATATCCGTCTTAATATCGCGTTTATTTATCGAATGTCCACGGTTGCTTCTCGTCACAGAACCAATAATGCTCTGCAATTTGGTTTTATTATCATTATCATTACAGCTTTCATTAATGTTGGTACAATTTTGGTTAGCTATGACGGATATTTCAGAATGAAATATAATTATATGACTTTCTAAATTTCTTTTACAAAAAAATACGTTTTTGCAAATATCGCATGTCAAATTTTCTTTATGATTTTTGACTTTGTTGTGTTTGTTCTTCACCGCATTATTTTCGTCACTACTTTTTGTAAAACTTGTTGGTTTAGAGAGACTGTCGTTATTTTTGTATTCTGTAATTATCTTGACATCAATATTTTGATCTTCATTTCCTGTTCCTGTAGTTTCTCCGGTTGTTCTTGACGCTGTTGGAGAATCAACTTGGATTTCATTGGTCAGCTTTGCTTCTGTAATATTACATTATTCTGTTAATAATAATCATCGGCCGTTTATTTGATGGGTCACAAAAACGTGTTCGGTAGACACTAACAACAAACAAATATTCATAAAATATAAAAATTCTGCAAAATTACACTCCTTTTTTGGTAGTCGTGTAATGGGGAAGAAAACGCAAAGCTGATTACAGATGTCGTTAAAATAATCTGACCCATGATTGCCTGTCGATTAAGTTAGTATTTTTTGTGCTATTCTGAAAAATTGTTTTTTCGCTAACAACAAATGTACTTATATCAATGGACTGTGAAACAGTTAAAGCTGGGGTTGAACAGGGTATTTCCGTATTTGAGAATATTTCGAAAACGAAAACAGCAGCAGCATATGCGCTTACCCCAGCCACGTTCGGGGGCGCCGACCTCGACGTACTGGAATCTGAGATGGGCCGCACTGCATATAAATTGTTCGGACATCTAGAATGGGTAAGGCCTAAGATAGAGAAGCTACTGAAGAATCTACGCCCAACGCAAGAAGCATGGCGTACAAGGCTAAAGGAGTTGGGACTGGACACTTTAAGTCAACATATAGGGAACAGTTCTCGAAGCTACTGGCCCTCTCTTGGGGAATAAGGGAAGCAGACATCACCGGCAAGGTCTCCACGGCGTAGGAAACTCTAGGAGCTCGATAGTCCCTCACCCATAAGAAACCTGGTCCAGGCGTAAAGCCTTGAGGATGACAGCTATCTCGCCTGGGTACGCCCGGAGAAGAGAGACTTCGTAAGGAAGCTAAAGCGGCGTATGAGCCACAGTCTTTAGAATCTATATGCTGGGGAGATGGGACGTACCTACGCCTCTACCAGAAGACGTGGCCGCGAAGTTCGGTGCGACAATCAAGGCACAATGCCGTAAACTGGCATTAGGTATATTCGGAATTGCTTAATATAGGTTTAAAGCAACTGGAGACAAAGTTTCTTAGCATTGAGGACTATGCCAGAAAGGCGATACACGGATTGACGAGGGCGTTGAAGTACGATATGTATATTCAGCACTTTATGAACATAGAAGTGTGATAACGTGCAAATGCTTTTAGTTATCATATTTATTACGTCTGATATAATAACATAGTATAACTGTAGCAAAAATATATGAATATCCCAGGTTAGGTAGCTTTTTTTTAATTTTTAAATAATTTGATTTTTGTTTCAGTCTATTATATGTTCTTTATTACTGTTAATTTTCAATAAAAAAATTACCAAACTTTAATTTTGACAACCTTGTTCATACTCTCATAACATTTAGTTCGCGTGAAAAGGCGGCCATATTTACCAAGCTTCGGTTCAAAATCGGACATTATAATAATTTATTATATAAGGCGGCAACATGGTAATTTCATTTTATTATAATGGTGCCTGCGGTCCATTTTGCGCTATGGTTTTATGTTCATTGACATTCGTCATAACCACAAATAGCAGTGAAATGTCCATTATAAAAATCCTCCCTTAAAGACGAGACTAAACATTTTTTTTTATTTGCCTAATATTTGGTTACTTTGCCGCCATTAATACGATACGACTCAAATAGTATGTATGAACTGGAATCATGTTTTCTCCGAGGTGTGGTCAAGTTTCTGTGAATTGTGGTCGCTCCGTTTTACGTAGAAAACAATTACTATAACGAACAGATTTACTACTAGCGCGGCAGAATAACATATCGGAGCCTTCTATTTTGTGTCGAACTAAATAGGAAATTAATTCCCTTGTTTCATTCATGTTCATTCATTACAGTTCTTGTAGCTATTTAACATAAAATAACTAAAAACCCCCGGGATGGAATTTGATGCGCTTTGGCACAGAAGATCATGACTATAATACCTTTCAGACAAATGCAGTTTAAGCCGTGGCGGACGTGGGTGCTGCGTCCATACATTTTAGCCCGATTGTCCTTCTTATTAAAATCGCCTTGCGATTTTAATAAAAGTGAAATGAAGTGCGTCTTGTGTAATCATATCTACGTCTCCATTGAGATTTCGTCTACTTCGGATTGTACGGGACTTGGATTGTCAAAGGCAGAAATATACTTATAACTGTCGCGTTGTGTTATGACGCGATCGGTTTCATACTTTTAGCACGGTTAGAACTACACTAAAGTACCACGATGTGTCGACACCGTTATCACTCTAATCATATTAAATGTATGAAACAGACAGCTCTCTGATGCGTCGCAATACAAGACAACAGGTAAATGTAGATCTGCCATTAGCGAGGCCGTGGGGCCCCCTTAGGCTGCCTCTGCCGCTTAAGATGCGTTTTCGACTGGTCCCTATGAAATCTTACACCACGAGATTGAAGTGTTGAACAATACTTCGCTAATTGGTTATCGTACGATAACGACTAAACACGCACAACCGCTTATATAAATTATAATTTACTACTTAATATTTTTTTAAAATCTAATGAAATAAAATTAAGACTTCACCATAAGATATATTAATAATGCTATGAAAGAGTGGTTCCTTCTGGTACAGATGTTAAACACTTAATAGAAGAAACCCATCCTGGTTTGGTGTACAACAAATATGACTGACCTAATGAATTTCCCTACAACATTAAAAGGGACAGGAAGTAATTGTTAAAAATAAACACTCTTTCCAAAATATTTTGTGGTGCACTGCGCGTGGCACGACACGCACTTGGCCGGTTTTTTTTAAAATAATCATCATCAGGCTTATATTTGGTAGGGGCATTAAAAACTAATAATGTGTAACTAAAATTATATAAAAAATATACCATACATGAACTCTGATAATATCATCTCCTTTTGGCAGCCGTGTAATGAGGAAGAAAACGAATAACGGTAACAGCAATGCTTACTTGCTGTTCAATAAAGAAATAAGACAAACTTCAAAGATCATGTCATAAACATGATCTCACCCAATGAATGAACAGCCGAATTCATTTGCAGATATTTGATTTGCCAAATTATTTGTATGTCAGAGTGTGTGAACAATTTAAATAAATCACGCTAAGAAAACGGCTCATGTTTCGCTCAATGTGTGCGTGACTCTAATGTCAGATTGTACTAAGGTTGTAAGCACGAGCATATCTACCATATGTAGTAGATATTTTTGTGCTGCTTCCGTGCTGCTAATGTGGTACCTAGGGGTATATAATCAAAGATTTGAGCTTCCCTTGTTTTCCCTGACTTTCTAGTATGTGGACCACTGGACACCCTACATATAATGAATATAACTAATTTACATAATATAATGAAGTGAAGTATAGTTTTGTAGAAACAAATATAAACAGCCATGACTTGGGAACAAAAAGTTCGTACCTATTCATCACACAAACATTTGGCCCACCAGGATTCGAACCCAGGACCTCTGAGTAGGTGACACCTCGAAAACCGGTGTACATACCACTCACACCATGGAGGTTGGCATATATACTAATAACAAATACCTGTTTCACTTTGATCCTGCATCTCCTCTAAGTCCGATTCAGACTTCACTTTCTCAACCTTGAGAGTAACCTCCAGATTAACCTCTTCTGGATCTATAAGCATTATACTCTCCATCGGTGACACACTATAGTTCCAGGCGATATCAGGTTGTCGCTTCACAATCATATTTAGTGTGTCTGTGGTGACCTAAAAAAATCCCATGTAAAATAATTTTGCCATAATTAATTAGACTTAGCCTTATTACAAAACAGCGACTAAACTTAAACCCCCGTTAGTCTAAAAATGATACTGTCACTTTAAAAGCATTCGATAAAGTCCGTCTTAATGGCTTAATTTATAAGCTATACAAACTCGGACTTTTTGTCGAATCGCTCGTTTCGCTATCGCGTCGAAGGAACGCTCTCCTCGCCCCGCCCTATCCGCGCCGGCGTCCCTCAGGGCTCGCCACTCTCGCCCTTCCTCTACTCGGTCTTCACGAACGACATGCCCAAGACTCCTAAAGTCGATCTCGCGCTTTTCACGGTCATCCCCT